GGTTGTACAGGGAGGAATTTTGAACACAGCATCAGTTCCAGGAAGTAAAGGTGACAGACTTACAGAACAGACTTATCTGAATGATTTAAAATCTGGCTGTTCAGACCAGGTCATAACTCCAGTTGTCTGCGCATGCACCTCTGCCACTAGCTTGCCACTATTACACATTACTAACTTTGTGTCTCCTCTCTCCCGTAGTGTGTCCTCTCTCTCTCTGTACCTTTCTGCAGGTTGCCCTGGCCCTGGAGCTCTACGTCTCTGACGAGCAGTCACCAGCCACATTGACCTGACGAGTGTTTCATTATTTGTTGTACCTTGTTGCTTTTCTTCTTTTGTCTCTCCTCTATCCACTCACCCCAACCGGTCGAGGCAGAAGGACGCCCACCAAGAGCCGGGGTCTGTCAGAGGTTTCTTCTGTTAAAGGGAGTTTTTCCTCCCCACTGTCGCCAAGTGCTTGCTCAAGGGGGATTTGTTGGGTTTTCACTATGTAATAATAGTGATAACAGTAAGGTCTAGACCTTACTTTGTAAAGTGTCCTGAGATGACTTTTGTTGTGATTTGGCACTATACAAATAAAAATTGATTTGATTTGCGTGAATGAAGCAAGCGGAGGTCCGCTGGACTCCGATGTCAAACACTCCTTTTCCTCCTGCCAAGTGCAATGCCATTGTATGTCAGACAGATTTACAGTAATGTATATTCATTGTCGGGAAAATGAAGAGTTTATTTAATGCCCACTTTTTATTCTTGGAGAAAATATAAAATCAGTGTAAGTCAAATAGCTGAAGTCCAGGTGAAGTCAGGTGCCAGTGGTGTTAAAACAGACCAATATCAGCTACTCTGCCTGACAAGCTTATTTCTGCATTCACAGTAGCTCGAGCTTTCACAGATCTACACACCTAAATCTTAGTTTGAGCCATGTCTGTTTGTGGCTCCTCTGTGGTGCATCAGGTTCACAGGGCCTGGCAGTGGGTATGATGCAGTCACTGCCATTTCTATAAAATCTAGACTGGCACAAATATCAGTCTCTTGTAAATGTTTTGTCCTCTTGTATTTTAAGGACATGCTGTGTACTTTGTGATTTGGAAACTGTGTGTTCTGTGAAGGAAATAATGGGAATTCTTTGAGGTCAGATTATTGAATGGTGTTTTAATGCATGGCCATTGCCAGGGTTCATGCATGGTACCATGTCTCTGGATGTTTGTAACAGGCCACTTTTTTGTATTTAGAATACCGTATGTGAATTTTTCTGTCCTCTTTTTAACTGTGGCCATTGTTTGCTGTTTGCAGCAGATGGACAACTTGGAAAAATACTTTTCATGGTTTGTGCACATATCTGCTTTCTGTCTTCATCATGTGTCTCCTCCTCTCTCTGTTGTCACATGCACTACAGGAGGAGGACTTTGAGGCCATGGTGAGCACTGCCCAGACGATGGAGACTCAGTATGGTCATCTCTTTGACAAAGTCATAGTGAACGACAGCCTGTTGGAGGCCTTCAGCGAGCTGCAGCTGGCACTAAAGAAAGTGAAGATGGAGACACAGTGGGTTCCAGTCAGCTGGACTCACTCCTGAGACCTATGGTGAATATAAAAGTAGTAAAAGGAAGGGCGGCAACAACAGTGGGTTCCAGTCAGCTGGACTCACTCCTGAGACCTATGGTGAATATAAAAGTAGTAAAAGGAAGGGCGGCAACAAAAATGTTCAGGTTTTTATCTTTTTTAATATTTTCTGGGGCTGGTATTGAGGGAGATTAAGGGAATAACTTAAGGGAAGACTGCTGTGTTGTCATATCTGAGGTGCACAGAGCTAAAAATAAGCTTTTACCTTCAGGTTGGATTCAGACCTTGGCTGCGGTCTGGATGTGAATCTCCAGGTCTCGCCGGATTTGACATGGTCCTCCCAGAATATGGGCCTTGGGCATGGATCTGAGTCTCAGTCTGGGTGACACAATCCATAACCACAAGTTGGAAGTCCAAACCAGAAGGTGGAAAGACCCTAGGCCATCACAGCACCAGCAGTCCTGCCAGCACATCAGCAATCTCACCAAGCAGGATTCCTTCTGTAGTGTGTTTAGAACATTAGACCATTAGAAACCAAAGGGTCTGACTTTTTTTTTTTGGATGGACAACTTTCATACTTAAGGGAAAAGGGTAAGAAACATAGGTGTCGTCTGTCTTGCTGTATTTCTGTGCTTTAATGCTTCCACAACTGTTACTCCAAACAGGACCTTGACAGATACCCTCTCAAGAAAGGGTGTAAAATGTAATTGTATTTAAGAGAACTTAATATATTTTCTATTATCTTCCATTTGTTTTTAAGTCTACCTTTTATGTACAGCTTTTTACACTGGATGCATCTCTTCTTTCACTGTTTTGGTTTCATTACCCCCAGTCTAGTTTTTCCTCTACGAAGTCCACAGAGAGCTACTTGACTTGAGTTAAGTCTTGCATATTCCATTTAGGAGCCATTTGAAAAACCACCCTTCATAACGAAGATGCCTGACATAAGAGCTTTGCCAGTTAAAGTCCCAGAAGAGGACACTCTTGGCTGTCTGCTAGAAGAAAATATTCACGGTTCTGTTTTATTAGAGTGAAGGTTTTATTTTTATTCACATGAAAATTGCTTCAACAGGGCTGCAACTAGTTGATCTGTAGCACAAGTCTAATTTATACAAATGTTAAGTAGCCACTCCTGACTTTATGAGCACTAGAGGTTTATTGCTAATTTGAGTTGCCCATTCCCAGTTTAACTGGGAATCTTTTTAACTTTTTCTACTTTTTTCTAAGGCTTCTATCATAAAGATACTTAATGTCTTCTTATGAGACATTAAGTCAAATTGTTTAGCCATTAATTATGCCTCTGCCATTATAATTAACATCTTTACAATCTTATAGAAAACCACAAGGTAACTAGCTTAGCAGTGCTGGAAATGGGGAAATAACTAGTCTACATGATCTTTATATGCATTTATTTTACCTTTTATTTTACCATTGATTCCATTTTGAAAAAGGGTAATATAAGTGTTTATGCTGATCTGTAGTATCACCCTTGCCTCTTTACTATCCTCCTAGTTTGTTTCTATTCATTTTAGTGTAATTAGTAAACTTAAACATTTAGGTTATTTTACTTATTCATTTTGTCTCACCTGCCTGCCATTTGTTTCTCTGATCTGAATTAACCTTGTAGTGTCCAAAAATTATTTTTAATTTCCTGCTATACTATAAAAGGAATGCTGTCTCTGAGGCAGGGTGTATGAATTTTCATTATTCTTGATATGGGCTACTTTTTATATTAAAGGAAATCTAACTAAAATTGTCCAACATGTTGAGTTAATTTCATTCATGTTTTCATCTGGGCAAAGAGCAGTCAGCAGTGATGGCGTCCTGGGACTTGATCTTTGAATGCCATTCACATTGATCTTTTTTCAGTTTTGAAAAAAAGAAGAAGAAAATATTTCAGGAGCATCTTTGAGCTGCCCTATAAAATTTGGCTCCAAGTTGCACAGTTACACCACTATGACTAGTAATAAGAAGAAGTAGTAAAGAAAGACCAGGTTTAAATCAGGGTTGCGTCAGGAAGGGCATCCGGCGTGTTGGGCTCCAGTTCTTGTTACCATTGCTAACTCTGAGAGACGAGGCAGTCCAAGTAACTTCAAAACAGTGCTGATTTATTCAAAGGATCACAGGCAAAATTAACATTACACACTCAGGTATCGTGCACCTCCAAACTGCACGCAGGCAGATGTAAGATGAAAGACCTCGAACCAACCAGGCCTATACATTATATCTCTTCGGTTGGGCTAGCCCCATACTACACAGAAACGTCAACCGAGACGTCTCTGTTGCCAGCTTTGCAGCTGGCCATAGCAGTAGTCAAAACATGAAGCAAATCAATGTGTGTGTGTCTGCTGTTTTGGGCAGTTTTTTTGGGAAAAAAAAAAAAAAATTAAGTTTTGTTGGGGTTTTTTTTTTTTTTTTTTTTTTTGTTCACCCTTGTTGATATAAACTGGTTGGACAAAGCAGTAACATCCACCAGCATCACCAACTGCTACCTGCTGTAGCCTCAGTCTGTAACTAATGGGAAACTGTGATCTGCCCTTAGACACAATCCTAAAAACTCTTTCACAAATCTGTTTTATGCTTACAAGGAAAAAAAAAACCCTCAGAACTACAATACACATTTCCAAAATAAAGGTCTGCCTTTCCACCACCCCGGTAAAACTGTGCTGGCCTTTCACTGATTAGTGCTGAAAAGAACCAAAAAAAAAAAAAAAAAAAAAAAAAAAGCACATTTTTCTTTTATAAATTTACACAAAATTCACCAAGAAACTTTGGTGATCTTTTAACTGATTCATTTTTTATGACTACATTAAAACTTTTAGTTACTTCCTAAAAGACTCAAAATTGAAGATGAGGACTTGAATGCAGTGGCTGCTGATGCCACCGGGGCAGTGCAGCCCATTGAAAACCCAGAGTCCTGTGGGATAGATTACTAAATCAGGTCTCAATGGACTGTTGAAAACATGGGTGAAGTTCCAGAAAAATCCCCCACCAGCTCAAATCAGATTGGCTAATGTTCATGTTTCCTTTTTTCCACAGTGCTCACTGTGGAGGGAGGGTTTACAGTAAGGGAGGATGAAGTGAGGTGGATGTGGAGGTCAGGAGGAGGTAACTGCACTCGCTCAGACCAAAGGGAGGAACCATCTATTCCATGCCCTGCTTTCTCTTTGACTTTTGTCTCACTCTGTCTTTCTTTTTAATTAGAATATCCGAGTAATGGGATAAGGCTTTACATACAGGAACATGGCACCAGGCCATGGTGCCCTCAGAGCTAAGGAAGGTTGACTGAGTGAGCAAGGTTTTAACCTTCCAAAGGCCATTAAGCTCAATAGTCCCTGTTTAACATTCAGTACGTGCCACCCTGCATTGTCCCAGAGTTCAGCATTAAAGAAACCACTTGGATAGTGACATACAGTACTATACTGTACAGCAGGTTCTAAGTGAGTGTGAATTGACCGCATTTCCTTTCACAGTGTAATACCAAAGCACCTTTTACCAAGGTTTTCATGGGTCCTCTTTATAGACTTCAAGGAGCTGGTGGAACTTTATAAATCTTTTGTTTTTAGTTTTAACTTTGTTCTCTCTGGCATTGTTTAACAGTACAGATCTACCCATTATACTCAAATCCCTGCATTTTATAAACCTGTTATTTCATTTACTGTTTGTATTTGATTGCGCCTGAATTGAGTTGTGAAAGGTGTTGAGCTATAGTATGTTTTGAGAGTATTCCAACTGCCCTACAAATTGAAGATTCTCCTTGGATTCCCAGGACCATGTTGTAAAGAACTACCTGTTCCTGACATCATCAAAGGTTGTGACAGATATACTGTTTTGATTCTTGGATGCTTGACGTGTTATCAATCTGCGCCTTCATGAGCCCACACCATTGTTAGAGCAATGAGAGCCCAGATGCTGTGCTTTGTTTGCCTTCAGCTGAGGAAGACGGAAACATGTTTGCAAATTAGGTTTCCCCTGACATGGATAATAAGAGCCAGGGATCAGCCACATATGCAGAGGTACTGAGAAGAGATGAGGTAATATTGACAAAAATGATGTGTGTACGTTTGGGTCTGTGTAGAATATATGATGAAAAAGCAGCAGAACTGGCATTGCCCTATATTAAGTAGTAGCCAAAAAATAAATCTTCATTTAGTTCCATAAAAATGCTGTCCATTACCTTCGCACCTCTGCCCCTGGACCGTAACCCACCACAGAACATAAAAAGACTACCCCTGCTCTTTGCCGAAAGTCAATACATTCCCCCTTTTTGTTATATTACATGTATATCTGCTGCTGTTGGTCATTTGCGCTGTTGTCCATGGACATTTCATAAGCTATTATGCATCCCATCACCAACACCCCTGGTGATGCTGACCACCTGACAATCTTCCTGTTATTATTTGTACTACTGTCACTGTTTGCACATGGTTTTGAGTTTCATCATAGCCTATTAGGTTGTACCATCTAGTTTATCCTTATTACTTGAATTCAGTTTTCATGTTCTGTTTATTCTACTTTTATTCTATTTTAGTTTCTTAAATGGCATGGGCATTCAACATTAGGTGAGAGAGAAATGGTATTTTGATTTTTCTGTATGTCCTGCAGATATATTGAATTTACAATAAAAATCTTCGATCTTTGATAAAAGTCTGGCTACCCCTGACAGATAAACAAAATCTCCCTCTTTAGTGTTTTTTTTTCTTCTTCATCCCTTGAGGATGCATTCACCAAATCACAGACCTTCTCTCTGTCTGTTGTCTTTTTGGTCTGAAAACTATTAAAGAACACATTTGAAATATGTTTATAATACAGTAAGTAAAGTAAGTTTTTTATCTTAATGTTATCCTTGTTGCGCTGCAGTAAAGTTTCATGAATCGATTTATTTCTTGCACTTTTGATGTATTAATTTGGATGTCCACAAATAGGCATTAACTGAACCCACAGGGGGCATGAGGAGTCTGCTGAGCAAACAAACAAGGAATTACAGCTGTAGAATATTCAGAGAAGCCGTCCTGTCCCAGGCCAAGACACATGTAGAGGTTACCACCTAGTGAATTTTGGAAACCATTAAAGTGAATTTCTTTTTCTCTTTTTCCCAGCCTGTTGTGTTTTACCTCAGTCCATCACCATGGTTTTACTGTAAGAGACAGCTCGTGGTGCTGCTCTGTTTTCCTCATCCTAGGGTAAATGCCCTTGACCATAGTAAAGCTGTACTGTAGACTAGCAGGGCTTCGGTCCAGGAGCTCTCCCCCCCACACATTGTCTCTTCAACCTAATTAGCCTCACCATTACCTCATGTCTGTAAGCAAAGTTCTTTGGGCCATATTACCGTGAGCTGTATTTCTCAATTACAGGACTTAGAGGGTGGGGCGTGAGAAGTGAACAGGGGATGCTCTTCATTCCTCCATGGCCTTTTCATCATGATGAGAATTTGCGGAAATCATAACATACTCAACTTGTGGCTGTAGTGCAGTTGGTCATTAATGCAGAGGTATGTATAGGCCTGATCTGCCTGCTCAGGTTAACCCACCTCAGTGTGTGTTTGAAAATTAGTCCAAGGAGTAAAAGTTCAACTGAAAGTTTCTCAGCACTGAAAAATCCTCTGACACACGTGGAGCTAAAGCAGTGTACAGGGCCAAAATAAAGGCACTGACTATGTTTGAGGAGTGTAGGGCTGTCCACCTATATTTTCTTAAAATTTTTTCTGCGGCCTTCCCTAAAATCTAGTTGGCTTCTACTGAAATACTTTTAATTACACAGACTCTGAGCTGTCATCGTTAAGTTAGACCACTTTGGAAGTCAGGGCCTTTCTTGTATGTGCTACAAATTTTTCACCACTGCCATGATTTCCCCAAGTTAGGGTGAGTGAGTACTGTAGAAAAGCAAAATGTATCACTAGTTTTCCAAATGTGCCTGTTTACACTCTTAATAGTTTGTATCATCCAGTAGTACTGTATATGTATTAATTACAGATGCATCATTCAGCTTATTACAGGGCCTGGTTTCTGAAACTACTTACTCCACACATTGTCAACCTTTGGTTGGTGAAATATGATGAAGATTGCAGTATGCCTGCATACATATTCACTGTGTGCTTTTTGTGTTTCATCTCTCCATCTGAGAGGTATGATGGAAAACCCTTATGTACTAAGAAACAAAATTTTAAAAATGGTAGTAAGAATTAAAAGAGGACTCAATGAGAGGAGGGAATGAGACTGTCTTCATTGCAAAGGAAATAACAAGAAGCAGTGTGGTTTTGTAATGTGTCACATTGCATTACAGGGTGTTATAATTTCCAACAAAGAGCCACAGGTCCCTGTGAAGATGCCAGTATATTCGTTGAGCAAATGTGCAGCCACGTTCTGTCCAGCCAAGACCTAATGCACAGAGGACAGGTGTGTGAAGAGGTCTGTCCTGCGCAACATGTTAAACCATCATAGCAGCTATGACTCACATGAAAGAAACCATGTGGCACGGCCCTTGGCCAAATGAACTATAAAGCAGCTCATGTATGCAAACTAATAACAGCTAATTTCATAATCAAATGCAGTGACTTTGGGAACTCTTGGGTGTGTATGAGAAAATGCACCATGAGTTAAAAAATAAAACAAAACAAAACAGCTGATAGGGGAATTTAACCATTAAGATGTCAGGAAAGGAAATGAATGCTTAGGGCTCTGCTAGTTAGGTCTTGCCAGAAGTCAGCAAGAGCCTGTATCACATGGATTAGTAGGTGTTGATGGAGGGGAGTGATATTGCAGCAGCTTGGGATGCAGTTGAAATTTTGACTGTGGGCAATGGGCCATAATAGCTGATGCTCTAAAGGTGCTAGTTTAGAACCAGCCACAGGTTGGGCGAAGCAAACGCTAACTGAACTGAAACTATCTGAAAGGAGGAAGTGTCCACAGGTCACAGTCTATCTGGCTGGAGCTGTGACCCACTCTGCAGCCTGCCACAAGGCTGAACCAAAGCCACTGTGAGGTGGAGCAACAGTGGAGCTCACACACAGGCTGCAGACAGACTGATTAGTCCTCAGAGCTTTGTGATTAGACTACATTGTTAACTTTGGAACACTGCAGGTTTACACTGCTTCTTCTTGGCTTACTGAAAACCTTTAGACAAACATCTAGTATTTCTAAAATTCTTCAAACTGGCTAGTGGGATACTCCCTAAGTGTGTTGTTCTTTTCTTTGAACACTGGAAAGGCTACTGTTTTGAAACAATTGGCAACTGATAGTAATTACCTGATGCTCAAATTATGCCCATTGCATTATACTCATTCATTTTTCTGCAATGACTCCCCCAGGCTATTGCTAAAGGCCTGAATGGAAATATATCATCTAAAATGTGGCGTTATACCAGATTTTCAATGATCCTGAAAATATGGCTTGACACCATATTTTCAGAATCATTTGAGCTTTTTCACTTAGAGGGCTCGCTTTTTTTGCCAGCACAAGTCTTTGTGTATGTAGTCTTTATGCAGTTTTCCTTGGATGCAAGGAAAGTTTTAGTGACAAAGCACATTTTTTTTGTTTTTGTGCATAAATCCAAGGTGTGTACTGATGTTTTGTGACACATCTTTGGTGTCTCATACAGATGTGAGTGGTTTAACAGTGCTCTCTTTTAAACCCAGTGAGTGTCATACAAATGCCAAATGCCTTTGGTGTCCACATGACATGTAAAAATTACCTGACTAAGGTCAGTGTTTGACACCCTGGGATGAAAAAGAGTTGGTAGTAGAATGGCAATACATGAAAGTGTTAAAAAGCAAAGCTTGTTACCAGACAGCATTTTCCATTTGATGGACCATTTCCATTTGGTGACCTGACAGTTTGCTTTCAGCAAAAGAAAAAGACAAGAACATCAAAAATATTTTCCTCTATGACAAAATATTTTAATATTTTTCTTATTATTATTATCTTTCCAGCAATGTCAAATTTTTGTAAAATTCCCAGGTTTTCCAGGACCCATAAAAGCTCTGGAGCTGCACAAACATGAAGGTATCACACCCTCCTCTAATGACTCTAATGACTGGAGGACGGGGGACCTCTCTCATTCACCTCTCACTTAACATGTCACCTTTTTCATCTGTTTTTACTAGTTCTTCCCTTCCTCACTTTTCCCTTTCTATCTTCCACTCCATCGTCATCTCAGTCCACTTTTCATCTATATGTTCTCTTTCCCTTTTATTACCTCTTGCCTTGCCCACTCTTTTCTCTACTGTTCTTGGCTGTTCATCTTGGCAAAGAGGAGAGACAGAACAAAGGGCCTAAGATGTCTTCCTGGAGAGGTTATAAAGAAAAACTTGAATGTTAGCAAGTGAGGCAGTTCCAAATGTTGATGGCTTCTTAGGCTATGCTTTCAAAATAGGAACATAGGAACAAGGAGGGTAAACGTAGGAAGAAAGAAAGGAGAGGGAACATCTGTATTGTTATTTGTATGCACAATGTATCAAAATAGTTGAAATAGCTACAAAATCCAGACAAGGAAAGTAGGAAACAAAGGCAACTTGATCAGCCTAGGAGAACAGATTATAGAGCTTTATCTAGTAAACAGATCAAGGTGGGGGCATCATATTTTTTAAAGTAATTTTAGTACACATGCCTAATTACTGTTAAGGTGTTTTTGATCAAATGTCCTCAAAAATGAAATTGAAGCACAGACCATTTTTTACCAGGTAGAATTATTCCAAACCAGGATTAATGCTTCATTTTTTAGTTTTGTGTGAACTATACTTAATGGAAACTTGGATATGAACTCAAAGCACAAAGTGTGACTGGAGAGCAACAATTTTTACCAAAGGTCCTTCAAGGCCAATTATACAGCATGACAGATTTGTACTGTCAGGTAGCTCTCTTGTATATTCCTTACTTGTATTTTATTCTTACACTTTTATACTGTACATTTCTTTAATTTGGGTGCTGTGATTTTGGTAATCATTGCTGTTGCTACTGGATACCTGAATTTCCCTCACAATCAATTAAATACCTACCTACCTGCTCCACTTTCAGCATCATTGTCTATTGTTTAATTTTACAAATACAATGACTTAACTAATAATTCAAGTCTGTACATGTCAGAGGGTGTGTATCTTAAGTGACCTTAAAGTTAACTGGTATTCTACACATTTCCTTATTGTAAATTATTTCCCAGTTCCTAGGCTGTGACATCCTAGTTGGTCATTCTAATCATACCCACAGCACTTCCCTGAGAGCTTTTTATCATTTTTATCTTTCCTTTGTCACTTCATGACTGCTTATAAAAGACATCACAGGAGGTCTCACTGTTAGATGCAAATACAAAATTACCTTCTTAGAAATTTCCACTTTGATAGTGTGTGAACTGGTTTATTTCTAGTAAACACTTCAGCTTGCTTGACCTTTTGTAAAAATGTGAAAAATGTGATATTAATGTATAGTTAGGTATGATACTTGTTAAAACATCAGGCTAGACAACAAAATCTTCAGTAAGTTGTGATATTTATAATAATATGCCATGTATTTTTATATAAAATCCTCCAGTAATCTGTAGTGCAGAAGCACACAGACATTTTCCCATTCATAATCTGCTCATGACATCCATTTTGGTGACATGGCTATGTATTTGTTTTTATTAAATGACCACCTGCAGGTTTATGAGAACATGTTATGTACATCAGCAAAGTTACAGGGGTTGGAAACATTCAACTATATGATGATATAATTTTCTCAAAGATATGCTTTGTGGTTTCATGTGCTTTTTCAGCTTTTCTGTAAATACATAAAAGTGCTTGTAACATGCCTCGATGATTGCACAAGAAGATCCTAGTGTTCCTTTGCACAATTGCAACCAAAATAAACACCATGCATTTTACTCATGCAGATGTAGATTTTGTCATTGGTTTTCCCTAGAAACCCATAAATCTTGTTACTTCAAATTGACAAGTGTCCATCCACTCCAAAGAAAGCACTGGCGCTAAGAGATTACCACTTGAAATACATACTGTACAGAGCATTTGAAAACCACAATTGCAGGTTCGTGTCCACAAGAATCTCAAGCAATTATACTGCTACAAAAGACATTCTCAAGTATCAGGTTTTGTTTGACAAAACTCATTTAGAATAAATTGGGATTCATTTTCATGTAGTGAACATTACGCACATCGAATCTTTAGCAAAATCTTACATTTTATTGGCAAAATAAAATGTAAGATGTTGGGGGGGTTCAGTGTTTTGCCCAAGGACACTAAGACTGCCGACACTGAGATTTGAACCTTCAGCCTTCTGGTTAAAAGATGATTGCTCTACCACCGCACCACTGTTGCCTCCATTAAAGCACTGAAGCTGATGGGCAAGCAGTCTTTTAACTTACTTGACAGCCAGACAGGGAAGCGCGCCAACACAGTCCCCCACTACCAGAAATATTATGTATGCTCTGTATTTGGTGAACTATTTTGTTCAGTGTTTATTGAACTAATGTTTTTTCTTCGTTAGAGTGCAGTATTCGAGGATCTAGCACATATTAATATTTGCCACTGGTGTCTATTTAAATAGTCAATCAATGAAGTAATTATTCATAACAACCAGTCTTTGTTTGTCAGGTTAAAATAAGGAAATACAAAGATAACCTTATTAGCAGACAACTTACATGTGTGCCATAAACTAATGATTGACAAAGTGTCACCCATGCTGAATAGTTTACTATTAAACAGTGAATTATGGTAAAAGAAAAACAGGAGTTTGGATTTTTATTAACCAGGAATTACAGTCACAGCCCACTGTTAGACTCACTAACAGACTCACTAAGACTAAACTAACAGACTAACTAGACTCACTCATTTTCTAATTTAGAACTCACATGAATTAGTGAAACATATCTCACAGGTGCTCATCACAATGACCAGAGTCACTCCTTTTCGTTCCACAGCCCCGACCCCTGCTGAACTGGACATGAAGCCTGTAAAACATCAGAGCTCTTTTGAGGTTGTGAATCCATGCCTGGGTGTGGGGACAGGAGATACACTCTCCAGTTCTCTTCAAATCAAGAGCAGGAACAATGGTCTGCACACCTCCTCATCATCACTCTTATCACTCAAGCACAGCTTTTGTGTATGTTTAATCTGAGTCATAATGAAGTGTTGTGGAGACTGGACGCACTGTGAACGGATGCAATCATGATGTTGTGGAAAGAAGCTGGGTTGTACTGTGCCATTGTGTTTTCATGCAGTTCAATCAGTAACTGATCTGAAACACTGGAGAACTAAGATGAAGAGCAGTTGTGTTTATTATGTTGTATTAAATTTTAGTGAAAGAACATCTAATTTTGAGCAGGTGCTTCTGAGCTCTGATCATATTTATTTTACTTTGTAAAAGACCTAGGCTGGGGAGAGGGTTTCATGGACTTTTTTTTAATGTACAGCAATTAAACTCGATAATGAGACCCTGGGTTAGATGTATTAAGATCCTCATTAATCCTGCTTTTCTTCCGGTTCACATCCTTCTTCTATTTCTTTGTTCCTTTTTAGTATTTCTTTTTCGTGCTTCTAGACTCACACTTCACGTCGGCTCCTCTGAGTTCACTTACTGGTGTGTCTGTGTACCACTGGTACAGAGACCAATAAATAAGAGCATAAATTTGATTTTTAAGAGGGAAGGAATGAAAACATGTCTGCACCCCATTTATAAGTCCTGTGTCCAGGAGCATTCTTGAACTCATACAAGCCGTTGGGTTTGCTCGCACACGGGAAGTGAGTGAGCAAAAAGAATGGCGGACCCAGGTAGCTGACTTCAGTGCAAGCAGTGATTTATTTATGTACAGTGCAGTGAAATGGCAAGAAACAGGCAAGTATAGATGAACTGAGTAAACCGGGTGTCGATCAGCAGCACCAACAGTAGAGTGATGAGATGGATGGGGTAGGCCAAGCTGCGTCGCTGGGGTCACTCCTGAGCTGGTCGGTGGGAAATGGAGGTTACTGAGGAGATAAGAAGCCAGGAGTTTGTACAGATGGTAACTGGTGACTGTGCATCGACCTGTTTGGTGGAGACTGGAAGGGTTGAGTGGAGCCAAGGTCCCGAGGTAGTAGTCTGTGGAGGAAGGGAACAGCCTGGGAGAGGAGTGGCAACGGGGAGTCCAGGGTGAGTAACGACAGGAAATGAGGAGAATAAGTACTGGATAAGACAAAACACAATATACTATGGTGAAGGCCTGAGAACAAGATCAAACTGGCAAGGAAGTGATAGGTGAGCAGGGTATAAATAAGGGCAGAACTAATGAGGTGCAGCTGGAGACAATCAAGGGATGTGGATCAGGTGTGCCGAGTGGTGTAATAAGGGGCCGAAGACGAGAAAACAACAGTGAGGGAGGTGAGAGAGGCAGGTGCAGCTGGGCAAACCTGACACAAGCTGCCTGCCATACTGTTGTGCCTGGTAGTACCATTGTAATTCTGTCTCATATCACTTCTGAGTAATTGTGTTTCCAGTATAAAAAAGACTATAAGGTGATTTTTTGAGCATTTGTTGTATTTGCAAATCATTGTCATTACAGGCTACCATGTGAAGTGGCTGTCCTCATCCAGTTTAATTGTTGTAAAAAAATGTGCTAATTTTATATTGTCAGTGATAAAGAATAATGTATACCTTGCTGTTTATTGATGTAAGTTGCATTAACTTCTAAACTGAGTGAACTCTTTTGCAGTCTAAAAAGAGAGTATCCACCCAAATTGACTATTTTCACTACCCAGTTTGCTTGCAGGTCTCTGCCAAACCATCAGTGAGAAGGGAAATAGGCTCTCAAATATGTGGTCATGCGGACATCTAAAGTGAGGGCTTGCAGAGATTTTTATTGTTATGACAACATTTGACTTGACATTTTAGAGCTTCTATCACCATACAATGCAAGACACACCACCAACTTCACACAGATTACACTTGCTGTTAGTGCAGATTTATTTAGCCTATAGTTTTCCTCTTTGACATTTTATCCCTTATCTCTCCTTTTTGATTTCTTATATTCAGTCTTATTTTAATTATTATTTTTTATTGCTTCAGTAGTCTCTTAGCTCAGCCTGAAGAGATTGCTATGTGTAGTCACATAGGCTACTGTATGAACATGTGACATTTAAAACTATTATATGTGAACAACTATGCAATTTTATCTCAGAAACTGAACAAGATTTATGGCAACATTCCACGTTACAATTGCAGTGCAGTGAATATTCCACTCCCTGTGAATCTTCCTCTTTGTTTTTTTCCCGGATTTGTTTTCATTGAGTTCAGCTACAGGGTTCGGTCATTGTTAACCCAATTCGCTTTCCGTTGTGTTTGGCTGTATCATAGCAACCAAAGAGGACGGTTATAAGAGGGAGGGAGCTTGTAGTTTCCATTGACACCGCTAATAGCAAATGAAGTTAATAGAAAAGCTACTTGAAAGTCCCGGTAAGTTTGTATTTATGTTCGTATATGAATGTAGCAGATAATGGCAGAAACATGCTTTATTTTATATTAATGACGAAAAGCTGAAATGGTTGTAATTTAGCTGGGCTTATGCTAACAACAACAACAACAATAATAATAATAATAACACAAAGCTTTCCTGTCCGGACAAACGCAAGCGTTAGATAGTGAGTGTGACGTTAACGCAAACGCAAACGTCGCTAGTGTTAGATTTGTCTGGTGTAGCACTAGTCATTGACTGTTTATAAACTTAGAAATCCTCGAATGTGAAGAAAATATAGCAAATAAAGGTGTGTATATTTGGAAATATTCAAACTGCATGAGTAGAAAAATTTTAATCACGTTACAGAAAATACTGTTTATGAACCTTAGACATTACTGAACTCCAGGCTATAAACAGCACTTCCCCCCTATATTCAGTAAAAACAGGGTAAAATACTGGTATTATCATGCTTGAGAAATGTACAGTAGGTCTCTAGTGTTGTAAATTAGAGGGCAGTGAAGTATTATGCTGAGGCTTTATAAAGCACACACTTTTTAAAATAGTGTTGTTGTCAAATGTTTAGTTTCAGAATATCCCAGCTGGCAATATGGGGGTTTTGTTGACCAAGGCAGCCCAGTGGACCACGGCCAGTTCTGGTACTGGCAAACTGGAGTTCACGCCAATGAACGAGTTCTTGTTGAAAGGAATCTTGTGCTTTGTGGAGCAGTTCAATTTTCAACATCCACAGGAGGCAGAGCATGTGTTTGAAGAGCCACTCCAGTGGATTACCACTTTAGTGGCATCTGATTTCAAAACTGATTATGACATCAGGTTAGTCTAATCATGTGGCAGGCAGCTGGCTGACCAGTGCTTTCAGTATTACAGGTCTGTGCAGGATTTGCTGTCATCTTAGTGTCCAAATGTAATTTATCTTGGCTATACTCAAAGCAGTAGGCTATAATTAATTTGTTTTTCACCTTTAGTAAGACTGAGAACATTCCATTTTATTTCATCAGAAGTTCTGGTCTACACAGTGTGAATGTGGTGGCTGGGAAGTGGAGAAGAACAAAAACAGACTGTGATCTTCTTTAGCTATGTTTGCATTTATTATGTAATACAAAACATGAACTAAAGATCAAAATGAAATATGTCTTCTTTCCTCCACAGGGACAGTGGTGATGTACAGTCCCAGGAAAAAGACAGTGAAGGGCATTCATTGTTGCAGCTCTCCCCTCCTACTGTTTGTGTACGCAGTTTCAGCCAGCTTTGTAAACTAGTTCATCTGGCAGGTGATAAGAAACTGGAGGAGGTTCGAGCATGTCTAGAAGGTAAGCCCAGTGACCACAAGATGAAGTTTGAAACTCATGTGCATCCTAAATACTCCAACCACAAACGTACGTACCTCCAAAACCCACAGAATTCATTTGTTTGCCCTCCTTGTTATTCTCTACAACTATCCAATTGGTAATTCTTTACAGTTATGTATTTACTTTAGGACCACTGCCAAGAAGAGATCTGAAAGAGGAATACATGATGCCTGTGGATATTTTATAGAGAGGGAACATTGGTTGGGTTTGTGAAAAGAAAAGAAAAAAAATGTGTGTAGAAAGATATACATTCTGTATAAGGCTTGCTGTATTTTTAATTCAAAATGAACCCAACTCATTTTTAGAAACACTATGAACAGATCTTGAATCTGAAAATTTGATAAGGCTAACCTCTGTTATTGTACAGAAAATAGAGATCCTCTGGTTAAGATTCTTGGTCCCTTCTTTGCCAACATCATGGAGAGAGGAACTGTTCATACTCAAGACCAAGCAAAGGACTCAGAAGTCAAAGTCAGGCTGTTTCATTTGCTCCAAAATATGGACAAACAGCTCCTCGCCAATCTTCTAGAAGAAATATCAGAGTGGGTGCTTTTCTTTTATCTCCTACTATTGCAATATTCAGTCAGATCTACCCAGATTTACTCTGACATGTGGTTGTCTCTGATTGTAAGCTGCAGCAGATTTATAAAATTCATCATGAGTAACTGAAGATTCAAGATTCAAGATTTTTATTTGCCATTTATGCATAAACAGACAGTCTACGCATATAGGAATTCTTGTGCAGGGCTCTCCTGGAGATGAATTGTTTCCTTTTTCATTACAGACAAGTAAAGCTTGACCCTACATCAGTGAAAAATGAAGTGGAGCTGTTGAAACAGTTTTGTACTGAAGGGGAAAAGAAGGTGTTGAAGACGGTTCGATACACATCAGGTTTGAATTATATGCAAATTTCACAGGGTTGCAAGGAAAGCAATAGTTTTTAACACTCATGTTAGATAGTCTGAAGTATAAAAAGCCTGTGTTCTTCTGCCACAAGAAACATGGAAGTCATTATACAGTATCTTTCACATTCTAGTTTACTACGTCATTACAGTACATGTTCTTTTGCTTCTTTGCATTAATATTTTTATTTATATTTTTTAAAATTAGACAGTTTTTATCTTGCCTGAACAAATTATTCAGCAGCAAGTGATAAATGCAATTTCTCATTTTAACTTTAACTTTAACTTTATTGTCATTGTACATTGTACACGAAATTAAAAATGCAATCCTTCGATGATAAAAAATAATCATAAACAATAAAACCCAACAAATTTACACACTCGCATCC